TGCAGTGCACGGCAGGCAGGAACGTGTGTGCTGGGGGTGGGGGGTTGCCTTTGCTTCAGTGAGAGACGAGTGCCAGGGCACTGGAGTAGAGATCGGGATAGAGAAAGAGAGAAAGCGAGGGTTCTAATTAAGGATTAAATTAAGGGACTAATTGATGGAATACCAGAGTTGGCTCAGAGCTTCCTAGCAGCCAGAGTGAAAAGGGGAAAGAGCCAGCTGACAAGCTCTTCTCATCAGAAAGAAAGGCATTTGGAGGCCTTAGATCTTCCCTGGCTCTAAGTCCTGAAAGGGAAGGCCTACCTGCCCAAGGAACCTCACACACATCCCCATCCTTACGGAGTTGGAGGCACTCCTGTCCTGGCACGCTCTGTGGGAGGTGACAGGTTTGGGCCCCTGAGCCAGAGCAGGCTGGATGACCGCAGGCAAGCTGGCTGACCTTGTAGAGCCTCTTAGATTGCGCCCCCCCATCACAGACACCATCGGCTGGGGACAGCATCGGGGGGACGGTCCCTGTGTCAGCAGGCTACTGTGAGGGTCACAGGAGCACATAGCAAGCACTCACCAAATGCAGCAGGCCTTGGTTTGGCTCTCTCTTCTGTTACCATTTTGCCCCTCATCCAGGGGCTTCGACTTTTGTGAACTTTGGTTTCTTCATCTGTAGTATGGGGACCGTACATCCATCTTCCAGAGTTTGGGTGAGGGTTCAGCACAAAGTGGCATGGCGCCTGGCCAGCACTGGCTGTTGGCTTTACAAGTGGGGTCTGCAGCTCTAGCAACATGGGCAGGTGGCGGGGGTAGGGGGGCTGCCTGTCCCTCCCTCCAGCTTCTGCACATCTGACACTCACTCGCAGGCCTCAGAAGGCAGGAGGGTGTCCACTCTGCAGAGGAGGAACCCGAGACCTGTTGAAGGAGGGACAGTCTGTGCTCCCAGCAGGTGGCTGGAAGCAGCCCAGGGACCCCAGGGGAGGGCCCAGCGGTGGCCTCCCCGGGAAGGGAAGGAGGGAGGAGGGGACAGGCACTGTTCTAAGAGCACTGCATGGTGGGTTGTGGGCATGTGGGGCCTGGACAGGCCTGGGGAGTTGCCCTGGCTGGCCCCTCTAAGTGTCTCCTGCATCTGGCTCAGGCATAAGAGCAAGAAGAAAGCCTTTACCAAGGCCTGCAAGAGGTGGCGGGATGCCAATGGCAAGAAGCAACTGCAGAAAGACTTTGCTGCCATGAAGAAGTACTGCAAGGTCATCCGTGTCATTGTCCACACTCAGGTCAGCCCCGCCACCTTGTCCACACCCAGGCTGCCAGTCCATGCCCTGGACCCACCCTCCCCCATTCTCCTCCACCCCAGCTTCCAGGAGCCCTGGCAAATGTCAGCCTAAAAATACCACGAGCCTGGGGCACAGGCCCAAAGGGTTGGGTGACTGGCCGCGCATTGGCCAGCTGCTGTCCCAGGGATGGCATGCTGGGGGTCAGTGTGCTCTGATGGCTGTGGGGCACCCGCCATGCCTAGTGCTCAACCAGTGCCCTCCCATACCCTGAAAGGCCTGGATCTCCTGCCAAACGTCCAGCGTCGAGGGCCAACCCCCTCCCTTTGGGGCTTGCACAAGTATGTATGTGAGCCAACATTTGTACATGGGGTCTGGTATGATGTGGGCTGAAAAGGTTACTAACACCTTCTGGCTTATTCTGGAACACGCCTTGGCATCTTGTCCTCAGGGAAGGCTTGCTCGCTTAGGCCTGGAGCAGCACCCTGCTCCTCCCTTGCTGTTCCTAGTTATGCCTGTCATTGGTCGTGTCCATTTCCCTTGACAGACTGGAGCTCCATGGGGGCAGGGGCCACGGCTGCCCACTCAGTCTGTGTCTTGTATGCAGTAGGTGCTCCATAAGTACTCATTGAGCACTATGCCATGGCCGGTGTCCCTGCTTCCACCTGTGTCCCCATAGCCCATGCCTCACACAGCAGCAACCAAAGATATCTAAACATATGAAGCACAGTGTCACACCCTGCACTTAGAATAAAGCCCCAGCTTCTCCCCACAAGACCTGCACAGGCAGGCTCCTGCTCACCTCTGACTTCATCCTGCACCATGTTCCTCCTCGCTCACCGTGGTCTAGACACACTGGTCTCCTTTCCATCCCACCAACTCCCTGCCACAGGGCCTTTGCACATGCAGTTCCCGCTGCTCCCCAAAGTTTCAGATCTTCACTTAGTGGCTCCTTCTTGTTATTGGTGTCACATCAGAGGGGTCCTCCCTGACTGCCCTATGTGCAATAACTGTCCCCTCTGCCCCCAATATTCCATTAGAATACTCCGCCCTGTCCAAGAATTTACTTGATTTCTGTCTCCCAATTAGATAGTGTCTCCCTGAGGGCCAGGACCCTGCCTGCCTCATTCCGTGCTCTATCCCCCCAGTGCCTAGCACAGAACATAGTGAGTAGACAGACCCAAGCACTGGAACATCTGTTGAACAAATGCATGCATGAAAGCTGGCCGGGGCTTTCCAGCCAGTCATGCCATATCTGCAAATGGGGGCTGGGAGCCTCTGGGAGCCGACTGGCTGTGCCATGTCCTGCAGATGAAGCTGCTGCCTTTCCGGCAGAAGAAGGCCCACATCATGGAGATCCAGCTGAACGGCGGCACGGTGGCTGAGAAGGTGGCCTGGGCCCAGGCCCGGCTAGAGAAGCAGGTGCCGGTGCACAGTGTGTTCAGCCAGAGTGAGGTCATTGATGTCATTGCTGTCACCAAAGGTCGGGGTGTCAAAGGTAGGGCTGGGTGGGGATGGTGGCTTCGGGAAGGCTCCTTGGAGGGGGTGGGGCCAGACTGGCCTCTCAGGCACTAGCCCCCCTCCACCCCCTGCAGGGGTCACGAGCCGCTGGCATACCAAAAAGCTGCCACGGAAGACCCACAAGGGGCTGCGCAAGGTGGCTTGCATTGGTGCCTGGCACCCTGCCCGCGTGGGCTGCTCCATTGCTCGGGCCGGGCAGAAGGGCTACCACCACCGCACAGAGCTCAACAAGAAGGTGTGTCCACAGTCCCGGTGGTAGAGGGACACTCGTGACCAGACCCCAGTGGGTGGGGTGCGTGACCCAGACACTGCTGCCCCCCCCAAAGGCTCTGAAACGCCCCTGCCAGTGCCTGGGTCCAAGCACACGTGCCGGTGGGTACAGACATACCACTGGCTCTGGAGGCCACCTGTGGCCCGCCATGTGCCCTGTTCTCCTGGCAGATCTACCGTATTGGCCGGGGGCTGCACAAGGAGGATGGGAAGGTGGTCAAGAACAATGCGTCCACGAGCTACGATGTGACTGACAAGTCCATTACACCACTGGTGAGCGGGTGTGGCATGCATGTGCGAGCAGGCACGTGGGGTACTGCCCTGCCCCAAGAGCTCAGGCCCCAGAGAGTGGCCACTGGCAAACCATGCTGTTCCCGCATCCTGAACCTCCTCTGCAGATGGCTTACACTCCAGCTGCTGTCACGGGGTGTGGGGTACAGAAGCTGCAACTGTGGCCTTGCACTCAGGCCCCCTGGGTTCAAATCCCAGCTGCAGTAGGAGCAGCTACAGGGCCCAGAACAAGGGACTCCACATCCCTGAGTCTCAGTTTCTCCCTCACTAAAATGTAGATTGTGAAATGAGGTAAGGAAGGACTCAGAATGTGGCTCAGATGCTGCCCTGATTAGTGATCCAGGGTGTTGCCCTGGGGCCAGGCTTGCAGATGCCCCTAACTCGGCAGCCCCTTGTGGGGTCTGCATCCTGACCCACCTTCCCGCAGGGCGGCTTCCCGCACTATGGGGAAGTCAACAACGACTTTGTCATGCTGAAGGGTTGCATCGCGGGCACCAAGAAGCGGGTCATCACGCTGAGGAAGGTCAGCGCCTCTGTGGTGGGTGGGGAGCCGGAGCCCCATGGGCCGTGGGAGGGTTGGGGGGCCTTGCTTGGAGCAAGGTGGGGATGGGGGAAGCAAAAAGGGAGGTGTTCTGGCAGGAGCTGGGTGAGTGAGACCTTCCCGGTGTGGACTGGGGGTGGCGGGAGGGGGTGGGTGAGGACCTTACATCTGGCTCTCCTCTCCCATGGACCCCCAGTCCCTCCTGGTGCATCACAGCCGCCGGGCCCTGGAGAATATCGAACTCAAGTTCATCGACACCACTTCCAAGTTTGGCCACGGCCGCTTCCAGACGGCGCAAGAGAAGAGGGTCTTCATGGTGAGCCCGCCCACCCCTTGTTCCCTGGGGCGGAGCCCCCACACCCTTCCTGCGCCAGAGCAGGGCAGCTAGAGCGGATGAGGGTGGCGGGGGCGCCCCTGGTGCCGTCCCCGGGGCTTGTAGGAGCCCAGGCCCGGGCACTGATTCGCCCCTGCTCCCGTCCCCGCCGCGGGGCTTGTAGGAGCCCAGCCCCGGGCACTGAGTCGCCCCTGCTCCCATCCCTGCCACGGGGCTTGTAGGAGCCCAGCCCCAGGCACTGATTCGTGCAGGGAAAGAAAAGCAGAGTCGCAGCTGGCCAGGGGCAGGATTGCCGGCCAGACCTCCGTGGCTAGCGCTCCTGTGTCTCCCCCAACCCCCCAACCAGGGTCCCCAGAAGAAGCATCTTGAGAAGGAAAAGCCAGAGACCTCGGGAGACCTGTAGGCGGCTTGCGATGGAGGGAGCCTGAAGGAAGCGCGGCGCGACCCCCGCCTGTCCCCGCTGTCTAATAAAGTGCGGAGGCGACTCTGCCCGCGGTGTCTCAGAGTTGGGAGCACGGAAAGGAGGGTGGCCCGGGGCTCGGCTCGGGGAAGGACCGATGCGGCGTGGCCCCGCCCCGCCCCGGCGCAGCTCAGCGGCGCCCCCTGGCGCTCGGGCGGGGAGGCAGGGGGCGGTGTCGGGGACGGGGAGGAGATGTCGGGGGCGGGGCCTCGGGGGCGGGCCCTGCGCCGCTGCTTGGCGTGTCTGGACGTGGTTGGTCCTCTGGAGGGGCGGGGCCTCTGGTTTGCCCGGCAGGCTCCGGGCAGTGATTTGTCCTCGGGAGGAGGGGCGGAACCCCGGGTGCAGACCCGGCTGTCGCGGGCCAGCGGCCTCGGATCCGTAGCGGGCGGCGGACGTTAGCTGTCTCGCTGGTGCCATGTCGTTCTGCAGCTTCTTCGGGGGCGAGGTTTTCCAGAACCACTTTGAGCCGGGTATGATCCGTGACCTCCTGGGAGGACAGCGGGGCGGGAGCGCGTGTTAGAGGGGGCGTCGCTGCCCTCGGGCGGCGGTGGAGCCCTGGAACCCCGGAAGGGCGGACCCCACGGGGGCGAGTGTGCATAAAGGGGGTCCCGGAGGAGAGAGGGGGCTGGGGGCCTGGAAAGAAGGGGTACCTGAGGGGAGAGGGGACACTAGAGAGAGGGACCTCGATGACCTCGAGGAGTGCGTGAACGAGGCGGTTTCCCGGAGGAATCTGTGGGGTCAGGGTACTTGGAAGGGGTGATGCCAGTGGGGGGGGGAGGGTCCAGATTAGGATCTGGACTTCAGAGGGACGCGATGGAGGATCTTGTCCAACGGCATCCGCTGATGATACTCCAGCCTTTTCCCCTCCCCTGTTCCTGGAACCCGCGGGGTAAGCCGGCAAGCACAGAGCGTTCCCTTCTGACCCAATGTGCCCGCCTGGGTGCTTCCCCAATCTGCCCAGAGCCCTGGGGTTGGGCAACCGGGACAGCTGCCAGGCCACTCAGTGCCAGTGAAGTTTGACCAGACAGCCTGAGTGGAGGTGGGGGAGGAGGGGTGGGGTGGTTTGGGGCATGGCCAACCCTCAGCCCTGGCCCCAGGCTTTGAGATGCCCTTCTGGGCTGTGCCTCCTGGTAATGGACTAATTTGGTAGCATGCCCACAGATAAGACTAGGGCAGTGCTCTCCCTGGGGTGGGATCTGTTGGGTGTCAGCCCCCTAGGGGGCTGGGCTGTGACACTGGGCATCTGTGGACGTCAGCTGTGACGGACGTCAGTTTTACAACCTTTTTCTCCCCCCCTCAAAGTGATCTTTTGGGGATAGATTAAAACCTGTTCTCTTCCCTGGCCCTCTGTCTTCCTGGGCCCTCTGTCTGTCCTGGAGACCTTCTTGTTGGGACCATTCTCTTCCCACGTGGAGAGCAGGCCAGTGGCTTGGAGTCCAGCTTAAGGCTTCATTGGGCATCAGGAATGGCCACCTGGGAAGAGAGGGGGGCTGGGGCCTGCAGGGCTGGATGTGTTGCATCCTCATCAGACCACTGGGCTCCTTCCTGAATGCACACCCTCGAGTGGAGTGTTCTGTATCACTCAGTTGCCTCATCTCTAAACCGGAAAGGTTCTCTTAAGAAAACAAAACGAAACTGGAAAAGGGGCACCCAGATGGTTCAGCCAGTAGAGGATGTGACTCTTGATCTCCAGGTCACGAGTTCAAGCCCCACGTTGGGCATGGGCACCTGCCTACTTAAAACAGCGAAGCTAAAATGGCAAGGTGTACATCACAGGACTATTGATAAGAGTCAATCAGATAAGTGAAAAGCGGTTCTCCTGGGCTCTGGCACATGCTAAGAACCACTGGATGGGAGCGCAGTGGTGTGTGCCTCATGGAGCCAATACCCAGGCCTGGGGGTGGCAGGCGAGGGTGTGGGGAGGATGTGCAGGCCACCCTGCAAATGGGGACAGTGCTCTGTTCTCCTGGGAGTGAGGATTTGGCAGCTCACCCCAGAGAGTAGAGCCAATGTATCTGCCTTTGCCTTTCCTGCTGCCCCCAGGTGTCTATGTGTGCGCCAAGTGTGGCTATGAGCTTTTCTCCAGCCGCTCAAAGTACGCACACTCATCCCCGTGGCCCGCCTTCACTGAGACCATTCATGCTGATAGTGTGGACAAGCGTCCAGAGCGCAACTCACCTGAAGCCTTAAAGGTGGGTGCAGCAGCAGGGGATGGTGAGGGGGTGTTGGTCAGGGAGAGCCTGAGGTCCTGATGGAAACAGGGAAACAGGACCGCTTTCCTGTGCAGGCCCAGGATGGAGATCGACCTCCCCCACCAGCAGTTACTTTGGGAAATGGGTGTGGGGGGGGACACCATGTACTGGTGGCAGGAGGGGCCACTGCATGGTTGTTTTGTGGTCTTGCCAGGTGTCCTGCGGCAAATGTGGGAACGGGCTGGGCCATGAGTTCCTGAATGATGGCCCCAAGCCGGGGCAGTCCCGCTTCTGAATATTTAGCAGTTCCCTGAAGTTCATCCCGAAAGGTGAGCTCACCTTCTGGCAGCTGGACACAGGCCTGTTGACATTTTAGAGGGCCAGGGGCAGCGGGCACGTTATTCTCATCCACTTACAGTGACAAATCCTGGGGGCCCCAAAGCACACTGCTCAGGAGCTGCCCAGGGCCACCCCAAAGGGGCAGGTGTCCTGATTGATCATGTGTGCCCCAAAAAGGGGCATCTGAGGGTGGATGAGGCGGAGGGTTTTCTGTGGGGGCCTGGCTCTTCCCGGAGACTGGAGGGGAAGGCAGGGCCAGGCAGAGGCCGAGGGCTGGGGCTGGGGCTGTGTGGCCACGGGCTTGCTGCTCAGCCTCTCTGAGCGGGTCTCCTCCTCTGCACGGTGGCTTTGCTCGCTAAGCCCCCTTCACAGGCCTGTCTGAGGACAGGTGCATTGACGTGGTGCCCCGGGGGCAATATGCTATATGCTCCTGTGGGCAGTATGCTTACTACGGGTTTCTCCCACTCTCTGCAAATAGACTGCTCCTACGAAACTTTTCATCAGCCAGAATGGTGTAAAGTGAAGAGTATCTCCCGCTTTCTGAAAGTTTCCCTTGTGCCACTACACTTTTGTGAAAGACCTTATACGTTAGCGCCTGTTTTCACTAACTGGAAGAAACCCAAAGGGGATTTTCACTTATGAGAAAAGCCGTTGCCTTATTACTCTAGGGAACGGGCGTGTGGTATGAATGAAACGTAAAAGCAAAGTGGCCGACCTTGACCTTTGGGAAAGCCGGGCTCCCTGTGCTGGCAGTTTGGGCAGCTGTTTCCCATGTGAGTTTTATCTGAGCACGGCATCCCTTCTGGCCCTTTGGCCTCCTGCTCACATAGGTGCTCACAAGCCAGCCCACGTCTCTCTGCCCAGCCAGCCCCTCTGGACTCCTCCCTACCCTTTGTAGCTCAAATCCCAGCTCCCCATGTGCCCCCAGCAGGACTGTAGCTGATGAAAAGTATCGTATAACAAAACGGGGCACACAGACTCCCCCAAGCTGGGTGCCTGAGTCCTCCCAGCTGCCTGGTCCTGCAGGCTGGAGCTGGCTGGCTAGCGCGGGATGGCATCTGAAGCATAATGTAGCAGTGACTTGTGTTTCTCTCCCCTCCCTCCTTTCTTTTAGGCAAAGGAACTTCTGGCTCTCAGGAGCTGTAGGTGGGCAGCGCATACCCATTCCAGCTGGACACTGCCCTGGTCACACTCTGGCCATCGCACCTTGGAATTGGAACCCCAGACATTCAGACGGGGTGGGGGTTGGGGGCTGGCTGAAGCATCAGGAGGTCTTGGCTTTGCGCAGGTCTTTGGGAAGAGCACTGTTTGCCATGATGCCCGTAGCCTGCTGCCAGGATGAGCCTGGAGGGCCAGCTGTGGGCTCACCTTAGCCTCCTGCTCATATGGGAGTCTCAGGGAAGTAGGCTGTAAGCCTTGCTTACACCCCACCTTCTCTTCTCCTCAGCCCACTGCCCTCTCCCTGCCTGTCTGGACTCACCCCTGTGGGACCCGATTCTGAGATGGGCTCTGGCCCTCGCCAAAGCTCGTGCCCATCTCCCCCAGGCTATACGGGGAGACAGAATGCAAAGGGAGGCAGCCCTCACCGGCTGCCCCAGCTCCGGTCACTACATGATGCACTCTGATGAAACCCTTCCAGGCAGCCAGAGTGGTGAAGATCTGTGACCTGCTGGAGGAGCGGGCCAAGGGCACAGACCCCTGGTCTCTCAGTTTTGAGAGAAGAAATCCTCCCTGTTTCACAATCCGGGTGGGTACACCTTGCCTCACTCAGGCTTAGGACAGTGGTTGCTCCATTACCTTGATTGTGCAAGGTCAGGGCTGGGGAGCTCACAGCCCAGAGCTCACACCTTCCCACGAAGTGGTGGCTGTGGCTTCGTGCACACACCTGGGGGGGTGGGTGATGCCACGGCCCCTCCCAGTTTAACTCCCCCCTGGAGTCCTCAGGAGATCAGTAAACAAATGGAACCCAGGCCTGCTGTCTTCATTCCCTTCAGGGATGCCAGGACACCTTGTTTCACTTGTTCTGCAAATATTCATTGAGTAGGTGCAGCCTGCTGCTGGGGATGCAGCCATAGGACAGACGGGCCTCACTGCCCCAGGGCCTTCCGGCGTGTTTGAGGGACAGTTCCCATCAGGTGATGGTCGGGCTGTGAATATCTACAGCAGAGCAATGATGCTAGACTGGGTGGAGGGGCAATGAGGGGCCTGGTGCTTTGGCCCCACTGGTCAGGGAGGAGGATGCCAACGGGAGGATCATCTCAGCAATGACAGATGAGAGAAGCAAGAGGAGCTTCCCGGGTGGCAGCATAGAGCACGCAGAGAGGCCCTGAGAGGGCACAGACGGCAGGCGACAGACAGATGCATGCTCCTGCCCTGAGGGGGGAGGTCAGAATGCCACCCATGGGGGGTAGGCTGCACTGCAGAAGAATCACGTGATTTTTCCAAATTCTATGGACAAATCCAGGAACGTGTAAGAATGGATATTAAGGGGGGCGCCCGGGTGGCTCAGTCAGTTAAGCGGCTGCCTTCGGCCCGGGTCATGATCCCAGGGTCCTGGGATCGAGTCCCACATCGGGCTCCTTGCTCAGCAGGGAGCCTGCTTCTCCTCTTTCCCTCTGCTTGTGCTCTCTCTGTCAAATAAATAAATAAAAAATCTTTAAAAAATGGATATTAAGGGGTGGGATGATGGTAAAAGGAAAGTAAAGTTGGATTAGGCTGAATTTATTGATAGGGGCTCACCAAGCAGAGATTGGAGGTTTAATGGTACAACTTGGGATGAGAGGGGGCTCGAACTATTTGGTCACTCGGTTGGCTGAGACATGGCCCGGAAGGCGGCCTGCACTGCCTTGCTTTGATGGAGGGAGGGTCCAAAGGCTTAGGGACATGGGAGTGTCACAGTTGGTTTATCCTTTAAAACCCACTCCCCCACCTCGGGTCCAGAGGACATGCCTTTCACCATGATTGTGAGCAAACCCCAGCATCTTCTCGAGGCCAGAAATTACATACAGGACTGGCAGCGAGCTGGGAAAACGAAATGCAATGGGGATCACTGGATCCCGAGGGGCAGGGGTCACATGGCCAAGGCAAGGAGGGTATGGTGCCTGAGACAGACCGCGGAGTCGGAGCGCCAGTCAGGTTGGTGTGAGGCGCAGAGAGCTTGGCCGTTGGCGAGCTGGTCACGGTGTACCTGGACGTGAAATCGATGGGAAGCCTCCTGAATTCTTACTGATCTGAACGAACAGAAGTGTTCCAGGTCAAGTGAACAGAAGTCTAATTTGAACCATAAAAACAAAGTCATGATCCCTCAGTCAGTTCCCAGACTTGAGCCGGTTTACAGACCCAGGGAGGCTGGGTCCCCTTGAGGAAAGATCTTGGTACATGGCCAAAAATTGTATACTGTTAATCTTTCCCCCAGCCTTCCCCAAAAGGACCTATACTGGGGTGGCTGTGCACCAGCGAAAAGGAAATAATCAGACCTTCCGGGGACTATTGGACACGGGCTCTGGCCTGATTCCAATTCCAGGGGACACACACGCTCTGTGTCAGAGGAGGGCTGATGGAGGCGGGCGGTCAATGGACTTTCAGCTCAGGCCTGTCTCCCCGGGGGCCCATCCTGTGGTCATCCCCTAGTTCTGAAGGCATCATGGAAGTGGACATACTCAGCAGCTGGGAACATCCCCATGTTGGGGGGACTGGGGCCTGCAGGTGTGAGGGTGGGGGTGGTAGAGGAGGGATGAGGTGTCAATGGCTGGGGAGGGAGGGGCAGGGAGGCAGGTGACACTGTTGGTCTGTTCATTCTTTGATGACGGGACTGCCCTTCCCCACCCCCCACCCCCGATCCCCAGCCACATACCAGGGGTCCCCGCTCTGGCAGGGGGTCGCTGGTCTGTGCAGGGGCTGCTGGCTCACTGTGTGACCTTGGGTGGAGCACTTAACCTTCCTCTGTGGAATCCAGCCTGTCTCCTGGTGGGGGGTGGGGCAGAGGGTGACGACAGATGTGTGGATTCCAAGCAGATGTCACTCTGTGGGTTAGATTCCGGACATCGAGTTGGCCAGTGGTCATCTGCACAGAGGAAGTTGTGCAGCAGCTGGGAGGGGTCAGCACTGACAGAAAGCACCACGGAGAACCATGCAAAAGAACCCCATGCAAGAGGGGCTTTTTGCTCTTTGCCCCTCCCCGCAGCGTGGCAGCCTCCCTCTCTAGAAAACATCTCCAACTCTGCCCTGCTGGGGGCCAGTCCTGATGGCAACTGCTAGAAACATCCCCCACCCCCGCCTGAGACTGCAGAGGATGTGCCCTCTGCCCCATGATTCCAGTTCCTACCTCTGCCTGACTTCTTCCTGCAGGAGCCCCTCTGTGTCCCAAGTTGGGGCTGCCCTAGTCACCCGGGATCGTCATCAGCCCCGGGGCACTGCCTAGGCCAGCCTGTGATCCGCACACTCCGAGTCTAGCAGCCAGCCTTGGCCGAGGGCAAGCCCACTGTAGGTACGCAGAGACTGAATGCTTAGTGCCCTTCCATGGGCAACATTGCCCTGAGTCTCTACCCTAACCGTCGTGGGTCAGGCACTCATTCTGCAGGGGAGGAACAGGAGGCTCAGAGATGGGGAGGGACTTGCCTGAGGCCTCAGGCTCTCTCTGCCCACACCTTTCCCTTTCCTCTTCTCTGTGCCCCAGATGAGGAACAGTGGCTCTGGGAAGGTGGTGACCACCTTTTGAGCATAGTCTGAAGGCAGCAGGTATGTTGAAGCTGCCTAGCGGTGGGGAGGGAGCCCGCTGAGTGGTTAGCAGGAATCTCCAGGCCCAGGGCTAGGATGGACTTTGGGCTTTGCTCATCTCTCCCAGCACTCCTGGCTCAGCATGCTAGCTCAGCATGTCCCTGAGTGAACTGGATCCAAGAACAGGCTGGCCTTCTGCAAACTGGACCGATGTGTCCAGGACATGGCCCTGGGGCTGGCTTTCCGGGGCCGGATCTATAGCAGGGTGGGCTGAAGGAACTATGGGTGTCTTGGGCTGGTGCTGGGGCTGGTGAGGCTGGGAGAGACGCCGTGAGAGCAAAATGCCTGACTACCGGGCTCCAAGCACACCCCCACACATCCAGGTTCCCTGGCAGTGGGGAGGGCTGGAAGCAGGGTCCTTGGAGGGGTGGTGGGAGAAGGGTGGGCCCCAAAACCCTGAGGTCCCCTTTCATCAGGAGCTTGGATATGGATGGCTATGAGCAGGGTCTGTCTGCCGGGGGCCGGGTGGGAGCGAGGTGTCTCCTGTGGAATCATAAATCTCCCCCCACCCCCTTCCTTCTGCTGGGTTACACCATCCCCTTTGGCCTGCAGCCCTGCTTCCTCCTTGAGAAACAAAAGACTCTTTGAGAACCCAGCTCCCGCCATCCCCCACCAGTGCCCCCTTCCGTGCCAAGTGGAACCTCCAGGGCACAGCCTTGCAGCCAAGGGTTCTGTTCAGGGGCAGACAGCTCGTGGTGCTCTGTCAACCCCAGTCACCAGCAGCCGGCAGGCCCGTGCACGCAGGGGCACCCAGGGCAAGGCACTGGCGGGAGAGAAGACAAATGTCTGGGATCCCACTGATCCCCTGCAGGGGCCCACAGCGGAGGGCGTGAGTGAACTGACAGTGCGTGAGGCTTGTGCTCACTCATGGCTTTCTATTTTTCTGAGTGACAAGTGCCAGGGACAGCCGTGACCCCGGTGGGAGTGCTGCCGATGGCTAGGTCCCAGGAACCCCCTGACTCCAGGCCTGTTTGTGGGCTGGGCCGGCAAGTGGGAGGAGGCGCCCCCAGAGAGGTCAGCGAAGGTCACCGCCAAGCCCGCCACCGTGCCCCCACCCTCATACGATGTCCTGGTAGGGGACCCAGGGCGATGACCCCCTTCCGAGTGCACCCGTGGTCAAGGACCCCTCCCCAGGTAGGGACGCAGGCACCGTGCGCAGCACCCACTGGCAGGGGGCGAGCTCGCTCCGCGCTGCGCGTGCCCCAGGCCGGGTCGGCCAGGCCCTGCAGTTCCCCGAGACGCCGCCAGGGGTGCAGCGGCATCTCCGACGACGAGGACGGGTCCGCGCTGCGGCCCAGGGCCCCGCGACCCCCGAGGCGCTCCGTGGTCAGCGTCGGCGTCCCCGGGGCCCCTCATGCCAGTACCTGGGACACAGACTGAGGCCTAACATGCCAGTACCCGGGACACAGGCTGAGGTCTCCGGGTGTCCGAGGGTGCAGGGCCCATCTGGTGGGCTTCGCAAAAGTGACGGGCACAGGGAGAGCAGTCGAGGCCCGAGTCAGCTGGAGCGGGACAGAGGTG